CCTTTTCAGTATAAAATATTCACGTATGAAGATAATAAAGTTTGCTCAGACAGATGATTTAGAACTTTCAAGACCATGGTATCCCTTGTACTTAATGACATTGGAAAATAAAGGAACATGGATCAACTTGGGTTCAAGAACATCTAGAAAGAAACCTGCATGAAGTCATACCCCAACCATCATGAGCAAAGTGCAGTGTCTTGTAAAAGGTGAAGATCTATGAACACAAAAGTCAGTGGCAAAAGCTATGCACATGTTTCATGTAACATTACCAAACATAATCAAGAAGGACCTCCCTCTGGAAAAGTGACATAAAACTCGTGTACTCAAGCTGCTTCCATTACATATCCATTCAGTCATCACGTGTCCCAAGTGGTGGGAAAAAGAAAATTGGTATTGATGCTATTCCTCATAAAGACATAATGGTCAAGTCATCAAATGCACTGCCTTATGGTTTCTACACAATTGGACTGTTGAAACTGTCATCATTGTAATGTTGTACTTTTGACATGAAAGCCTTGTAACAGAACATTTTGCTGTTTATATTAATATTTAATCACCTCTAATTTAATTATTAAAAAGGGGGTTTGTTTGTTGTTAAGCACAGAGCTACGCAATGGGCTGTCTGTGCTGTACTCACCATAAGTATGAACCCTCAGACACAACATTGAAATACTGTGGGGGGGGGGGGCAGAAAGAACAGAAATGACTAGAATTCCATTGTGTATTTTTATTTTCTATAACAAATAGTGAGGCTTAATACTCATTAAACCCACTTCAATTTGAGACAAGGCCTAGATGCAATACATCGTAAAGACTAATGATGCATGGCCATCAGATAGAGCATGACCAGACATGATGATATGGACTGTAATGGCATGGTTGGGTTCGTAATTCGTTTTAATATAACCTACTCAACCTCTGTGTGCAAGTTTTCTAACTAAAAACCCGTTGTAAAGCACTTTCTGCAACATCAGTTACGTTGGTAGCATCATTACAAACAGATCCAATATTTCCTGTTAGTGTGGAGCAGTGAATTAAAATCATTTCTTCTAGGTTTCTAACATGTGCTGATTGAAAGGAAAACACCTTGCTAAAAGCTGCAAAGTAATTCAATGATCATGTTAAAGGTGGCTGTTCAGCATGCACACAAATAAATATACTGTGGTTTATTTGCTTTTAATATTTATAATAAAAGGTTGTGTCTCACATGTCCACTCTGTTTACTTTCTTAACTTAAATTTATTTTACAATATTCCTGATTAATCCTCAAATTATAAAAAAAGACTTATCTAATACTCAAGCAGAAATCAGTTTTACCTAAGAATACTAGAGTAGGTAGGAAAGAGAAATGTTAGTGCTGGTGACCAAAATATTTATTGCAGAGTTTTCAGGCATTATTAACCTGAATATCTTTATATAAAAATGGCATATTCTCAAAGTAAAAGTACTCTCGACTAAGAGAGAAAGTTTACTGCTATAGAGAGATGGTCATTTACAACGGAGATGTCAAATCCAAGAGAAACCCTATCCCGGACATTGGACTTTTGATAATGCTGCACAGGTCCCTGACATAGATCAGCCTACAGATTTGGACTCAGGATGATCAGCTGATATCCGGAGCACCCACAACAGTAGAACAAACCTTGTTTCTGAGAAATAATCGAAGGTTACAAAGGTTGGATGGTACCTGGCGAGTCTAAGACCACTTGAAAAATCTCTAAAGTACTTCCAAGGTGTTGCCAGCCAGAATACTACAGCATCAACTATGGTCAAGACTATTGATGTCCAGCCAAGAAGGGCTGAAAATGCCATTGGTGGATGACCTCCATAAGTCAGAGATGTTTCCTTGACATATGAAACAATGGGCACCCATGGATAAGGACCATGAGCCATTGGGTAGAAGTGAGCTTTTCTGAGCTGAGAGTTATCCTACAATGACAACCATGGGCCACAACAAAGCTTGGGGTGTTGTAGGGCTGTATGATGAGTTACTGTAAGCAACTCATCACTCTACTGCCCAAGCACTCTACATCTGAAACATTGGCAGCATCTCAGCCAGACATTGGTTAAGAACCTAAATGGAAGAGGCTTTGGTCTGCACCATAGGCCTCTTTGAGCAAGGCAAAGCAGATTTTACCTCAAATGTTCAAAGGAGTGGCAAAAGAAGATCTGGATTATTTCTTGAAGTGTTTGAGGCAGGTAAATTTGTATCTGACCCTGTAGAGAATCAGGCAGCCTGCTGGGCTGATTTCAAGAACTGGAAAAGGACCAGAACCAAGGGCATGTGAACTTGGGAGATGATCTACACCAAATGATTGTAAGGTATACCTTGCTGTAGTAGTGGCAAATCGATAGAACATCTTCATTGATAATGCAGGCCTGTGATGGTTTTATTGTCTTGAAATTTGTACATATTCTACAGCGGTGCCTGTACGCTGAACCCATTAGTTTTTCTCCATCATGTACAGATTTTTTACAAAAAGCTATATGTACTTTTACATAAATGACTCATTTTCATTGAAATTGGGTCACATTTTGTTATGCTTTAAATGTTAACAACCACTGGCTACAGAGTTCATTAGACCAATTGCGACGTGAGAGTCTTATTGATCATTCTAGAACCCACAAGAAACATACAACCAGTATATAAACGGTTAACAGACAGTATGATATGTCATTTCTGGATAGTATTTGTTTGTGCATGCACTTCAACATTATTTTTTTCTTTTCAATATTATTTATTCGTTGCTATGACAACAAGAGGTTGTGTAAGTGACCCAAAAATATTCTGTTATATTTGTTGTAAAGAAACAAAGGCAAAACATTACAGAATTCGTCAAATTAGCGTATTTTGGAATAAAATTTGGGAACCAAGACATATCATGGGCTCTACACAAACTTTGCACCATTTGTGTCGAAGAGTTGAGACAATGGTCTAACGATAAGAAAACGCACCTGCCTTTTGGTATTCCAATGGTCTTGCGTGAGCCTAAAAACCTCAAAGATGACTGGTATTTTTGCTCATGTAATGTGCAAGGCTACAACACTAAATAAAAAGGAAATTTCTTATCCAAACCTTCAATCTGCTATAAGACTTCTTGCTCATGGACCTGATGTACTTGTACGTACTCCACCTGAGACTCTTAAATCTGATGTCAATAGAAATGGTGATAGGAATTGTTTTCAAACTGAAACGTCTGGTGAACCACAACTTTTCACAAAAGGTGAACTTAATGATTTGATGAGAGATTTGGGGTCCAGATTTCAGGCTAAGAACTTACTTTCTCCAGGGACATCATTTTACTGGCACAGAAATCGTGAGAAAGAGTTTATACTATACTTTTCACAAAAAGGTTCACTGGTTCATTGCAACAATATTGATGAATTAATACCAATGCTTGGAGCTGCAGTCTATGAACCGAGTGACAACCGTCAATTAATTCCTGCAAAAGAAGTCTCAAATCTGTTCTCCTCCACAATAGTAACATATATGCATCTGTTCCTATTGCTCATTTGGTTCACTTACAAGAAACGTACACAAATCTCAAACCTCTTTTTAATAAGGTTAAATACAAAGAACATGATTGGCTACTTTGTGGAGACTTAAAAAGTTTTTTGTATGTTGTTGGGTCAACAATCCCGTTATACAAAGTTTTCAAGTTTTTTGTGTGAATGGGACAACAGAGCACGAAATCAGCACAGATAAAGAAGCAGGATACCACTAACAAAAAACATTGATCGTGAATGTTTGGTTAACACAATGAAAATCCTATTACCTCTACTTCACATAAAACTGGGCTTGATGAAGCAGTTTGTGAAGGCCTTAGACAAAGATGGCGACTGTTTCAAGTATCTATGTAGGCAATTCCCAGCTCTTTCAGAAGCGAAACTTAAAGAAGGGTTTTTTGTTGGGCTTCAGATTAGGAAATTGACTTCAGATCAACAGTTCAAAAGGACAATGAGGAAAGTTGAAAAAGAAGCGTGGATAGCCTTTAAAGATGTTACAGACAACTTTTTATGAAACAACAAGGGCCCAAATTATGAAACTATTGTCACTAATATGCTCGATAAATTCAAATAGTTTGGTTGTAATATGAGCTTGAAAGTTCATTTCTTGCACTCACATATTGACTATTTCTCTGAAACTCTCGGTGCCATCATCAAAGAACAAGGGGAAAGGTTTCATCAAGACATCGGGGAAATGGAGAGGAGGTATTAGGGAAGGTAGAACATCAGCATGATGGCTGATTACTGCTGGTCATTGATATGAGATGCTCCAGACACAATAAATAAAAGAAAGACCACAACGCGTAGTTTTAAGACTAAAAGATGTAGATTTCACACAAAAAAATCAGGATGAATGAGGATGCATATTCTTCAGATTGTTTGTGTTTTTGTTAACAAACATAATAATAAAAAATGTTCGTTGTGGTAAACGAAATAATAATTTGATCTAAGTAAGAGTTTTTCTTTCTTCACGATTTATAAAAAATCATTATATGATAGAAAAAAAATTAATAATATTTTCGAAATCTGGTAGCTGAATTATGAAAACTACGTTATTAAAATCAAAACAAATTTTATGAAGTTTAAATTCGCAGGCCCATGTAATTTACTACATATTGTGACTGAGTTATTTGAATTTATTTTTTTGTGGAAGAATTAAATGATCGGCATTTGCATATTGTACGTAGTTATCTTAGACAATGGTGCAACATTTATAATCTTTACCTGAGATTATTTTATTAATCTTTGAATTAACTTGGTTCATAATGTTTTTATCATTAGCTCATATTGTTACTAAAATTACACTTTCAGACAATATTTTCAACAGTTTGTACAATATACAGCAAATTATAGTAGTTTAAGCTCCTTACTATAGATTTTGTGTGTACAGAAAAACAAGCAATTGAACTAATACTTCAGTGATTTAACCCAGCCTTCACAGTTTAGAGAAGTACTAAATTTTAAGTACTAATAACAGCTGACTTCAGATATAATCTACAAAACAGCTCATTTATTAAAGCATTCAGTTTAGCTTTCAAATGGTACAACTGTCTTCTTTTTTATTATTATAGACAGTATTTTATATATATATAAAATATATATTCTTCCATTCTTCAGATGGTAATTAACAATATATTCAGATAGATGAAGAATTCATTGCAACAGGGAATGCTCGTCGAACAATGATCTCCTTTCCAATCGAACTAGTAGAATAGACATCTAGCACCCATAACATTTCTTTCTCATGCAGTTCCACTGCTGAAGCCTTTACAACTTCAACCTCCTCCAAGCTTACATGAAAGAAAAATACAGTAATTATACACTAACCATATAAACTGTACTGTATTGTAATATGACTGTTTGTCATACGACAAATGTTACATTACAGCACACTGTAACCTGCATAAGTTCAAGTGTTACTGAATTATTTATACTTATTAAAACTTTGATTTTGGGGAAGAAAATTATTATAATTGTATTGATAAATATAATTGCTTTGTTAATAGTTAATTGAATTTCTGACCTATACTGATGCAATAAAATGCAATATAAGTTTACAATAGTTATATATTCATGTATGTATCATTTTTGTGCAAATGATTGCACATTTAAGATGTGGAATAATCAGTAACAATTACAATGTTTAGAATTTGTTCATCTTTATTCTATTAATGAAAATAACAGTATGAAATTTTGTATAAGGGCAAAGTATTTCTGTATAAATACCAGTGGGTCATGTTCGTCTAATATCATAAAAACACAATTTAATCTAATTAATATTCAATATTCTTGGAATATTGTCTTTAGTTTAAAACATTTTTGTGGTACTACGACAGGGCAAACAATTAGAAATATCTCAAAGATACATGTATTCCCCAAAATCTAATAATATTACAGAAACTAATGAATAGGCATTTAGTGAAGAAAGAAAAATGTAAAAATCATGAAATCTACACATATAAATTCTATGTAATTTGATTTGAACTACAGGCACAAAAACAACAAAACTATATACAAAATTTTGAAACACTGTATATTTAAAATGATTAAATGTTAAAAATTATGAAACAAAATCTCAGAACAAAACTCACTTTGGAGCACAGGTAAAATAGAAACATTATTAACTTTAAGTGACCATAAAGAGAAGTTTTTTTTTTCATAAGCATAATAATGCATTACAGTGCATATTCATAAGCACATTAATGATGTAATACATTGCATATCCATAAACACAGTAATGATGTAATACAGTGCATCCATACGCATGATAATAATGCAATACAGTGCATCCACAAGCATGATAATAATGCAATACAGTGCATATCCATAAGCACGACAATAATGAAATACACTGCATGTCCATAAGTTGTCTGAAATATTTGATGGGTTCTCATATTAGGTTTAGAAATAAAATAGCATATGAAAATACAAAACCCACATGCCCAAATTAAATGACGAATAAAAACTATAAGCAAAATAATAAAGAACTTGTAGTTTTTGGTAGCAGTAATGCAGGAAATAGGCACAGGATCCTCCCATGTGCAAGATCATAATAACTAACATAGAAAATACTATGTTGGATGCTATAACAACCCTTATAAACAAAATATCAATATTATATGTATTAGACTAAATGAAATCTTTGTTTTGATCAGTTTGAATGTAAAGAAACATTGTTTTGCTAGTGCTGATCAACTAGTATATTTGTATTTCATTTTTGAATATTAAAGGTAATTAAATGTTCAGCTATTTTCAGAGACTTTAATGTCCTAGAATTTCATAACTATTTCAAAATAATTTTTCAAATTTTCTTTGTCTTATTAATATATCTTACACTAAAATATAATAACCATGAAAAAAGTTTTAATTGATAAGGTTAAATACCCAAACAGTATAATGAAATTTCGGGTATGTGCATGTAGAACTAAAAATCAGCACACTAATTAATATGGTCATTCATAAGCCGGCATATAATTTTAATACGAAAATAAATCAGGGTAATTTAATGCAACATTAAAAACAATGAAACATTAGAAGCATGCCTTCTCAAATACTATCGTAAATGAATCTAAAAAAAAATAAAAAAATAATCTCTTCAAATATTCTGTGAAATTACAAGCGATTTCACATTCTACAGTAGTAGCCTACACAAATATTACAGAAAACAATATTTGTATCTTGTGTCTTAGAAAAGTTTTTAAATTAGCTCAAGAAAACAAAAAAGAAACAAATTAGATAAAAAAAAATACTATTAGAGATTGCTGGAGAAGTTATTAATGAGTATTTTCAAGAAACAAGAACCTGAACACATGTCATAAGAAATACCATAACAGATTGACGAAGAAGCTATTAATGAATGTTTTCAAAATACAATACATTAAAATCGTTATGTTAAATTACTTCTCATAACTTGTGTCCAGGTTCATGTTTCTTCAAAATACTTATTAATAACTTCTCCATCAATTACATAAATTGCAAGTAAAAGTTCAGAAGCACTTTCCTGATTGTTTAATTTCAGCTTCTTTTGAAGAATTAGAAGATTCTCCTTCACATGTAGCATAGTCACAGTTTTACCGATTACTTTGAACATATTGGAGAATGGGACTACATCATATTCACTTAGTGCATGCCAAATGATGCTTGAACTGTTCTTGAACCTAGGATTAGTGTTATTTTAAAAAATCTCCCAGTCTTTTGAAAGTGGACCTGACGTAGGGGTCCCACATGTGGCTAACAAAATTCGAAAATGTTGTGTAACTGTTGAGAAAACTGGATTCAATCTTTAAACTTAAACAAAAAAATTAAATTATTATTAGAGGTTTAAACACACACACTGAAGGTGAAGTTATGGTTATCTGAATAAAACAGGTTGCACTGACAAAGTAACATTGCTTATTTACAATTGATATGTTGATGACATATTTGTAATACTCATAAATAAAGATTAGTTACTGAAATTTGTAGAATATAGGAATTCTAGATATGTTAACATTAAGTTCATCTGTGAATGCCAACAATGCTGTGCTCTACCCTTTCTTACACATGTTCAACAAACAAAAACATTTTGATGCTATTTGTTATCAGAAATAAGGATGTGGCAATAAACAACTGCATATATACCCTGTGGTAATTCCATTAAAGGGCGTTTGGGGGGGGGGAGTAGTGTGAAATTGTAAATTGAATAAAAAATTCATATACATATGCTGAATGAATAAAGGAAGAATTATGTTTCTCATTTTCCAGGGGTTTTTCTCTTAAATTCACTTAAATGTACTGCCTCCACAACATCCGAAAGCAAAGGCCAACCCCCCCTGTTAGGAAAATAAAACAGTCTTAGCTGAAGATGATTTGCCAAAATATATATTTATGTCCCCTAGTCCTTCTATTCTTGCCACTGAGTATGAATAAAGATGATACATCAACACTCACTTCTCTTTACAATCTTAAACATCTCAATCAGAGACCCTCTAACTATTCTTTTTTCATGAGCAAACAATTTCAGAGATCTTATTCTCTCGTCATATGACAACTCCGCCATGCCAGGGACCACTCTAGTAATGCTCCTCTGAATACTTTCCAACACTGAAGATCTTAAATATCATCAGCACATTTAAGTAATTTATTGACCATTCCTTCATCTATGTCATTATATGTAAATCAAAAATTGATATTATTCTAATTTTTAAGTTTGACTTTAAATATAGGTTACTTGAAGAATATCCAAAATACTAGGTTTTCACTTGGGCTAAAGTCCTTGTTTGAGCCAGGTATGACCTGGTGGTTACGGTGCTTGACTCACAGTTTGTAGCTCATGGGTTTGAATACCTGTGACAAAACATACTTGCCCTTTCAGCTATGAAGGCATTATAATGTCATTTTCAACCAGATTATTTGTTTGTAAAAAAATAGCCCAAGCATTGGGAGTGGGTGGAGTTGACTAGCTGACTTCCCTCTAGTCTAAATTAGGGACAATTGCCTGAAGAGGAGATGAGCACCACTAGGTAAATCTGCCTGATAAACACCAATGATGGATCACCATTCAAGGTGCCCCAATGTTCATAGCAGCTTCAGGAGTAAAAAAATAAATAAATAAATAAAATGCTCATTTGCCTAATAGATAAAATGTGCTACAATTATTTGATTCAGTTGGTTGGTTACAAAGCATTTAAGTAACTACATAGTAATAGTGGCAACATTTGAGGCTCTAACATTACTGTAAACATGCTTATGAACATTTAACCCTTTTGGTGCATAGTTTAGATATATCCAAATAAACATTTATACCCACTGATTTACCCCATGGCTACCAAAAATGTTTCCCTCTACTGTGACATGCAGGAACACATATAGAACCTATATAAAGATAGCTTCTTTATATCTTAGATATTGTTATCTAAATAATTTGTTTTATGTTTTTTAATGATTTTGGCCTCTAATTGACTTAGTTTTGCCTATATTTATGGCATTTACTGGAGAAAAATTTTTTTTTAAATTCTCCTCAATTTTTTGTTTAAATCATTATTTTTCACTATCCAATACAGTTTCCAGGAATATTACTATCAGATATAGAAAATACAGCTCCTTTCAATATTGAAAAAGTAATACAAAAGGTCAAATTCATACTTTATCTTTTGGTGGATAATTGACATTTTTTGAGGAATCAGCCTGAAAATTAATTGTGCAGTGAAAGGGTCAAAACAATACTGAATCACATATTTTAGGTCTATTGGAATAACATATCTATAGAAGTGTATGCAGTATTGTTGCAACAGGTGACTGATAAATTAATAAATATTTCATTGTTTCTAAACACTGAACAATGCATAAGATTAACATATGACTATAAGGATATTCAGTAACTCATGTAACACTTTGGATGTGCTTGGGGTTCATGTGTTAGACAGTACGCACTGTAGGTGACACATTTACATATTGTATCAAAATAGTTATTTTCTGAGTGTAATGTTTTAAACTCTGAAAACCAAAATGGATAAATTAAAAGCTATGTACAGGAAAAATATCTGCAGCTTACACATTTTTATCAAAATTTTAGGCCTTGTTTTGTTTGGTTTGTTTTGAAATTCAGGCAAAGCTATATAAGGACTATCTGCACAAGCCATCCCTTATTTAGCAGTGAAAGAATAGAGGGAAGACAGCTAGTTATCATCTCCCACCACCAACTCTTGGGCTACTCTTTTACCAACGAATAGTGGGACTGACTGTCACATTATAATACCCCCATGACTAAAAGGTCGAGCAGGTTTTGATGGGACAGGGATTCAGACCCGTGACTCTCAGATTGTGAGTCAATCGTCCTAACCACCTGGCCATGCCGGGTCTAATTTTAGGCCTATTGAGTTCTAATGCTAAGCCAGCATTAGGTGTTTAAACTGTTAAACCAAAAAAATAAACATTTTGATATAACTGAAAAAAAAAAAGAAAATTAGGTGTTAACAGTTGAAAATGCAGAAGATTTTTGAAGGCACATGCTTAAAAAATAACATTTTTTTAAAAGCTAGTGAGACCACTGATTATATATTCATGATATGCATATTTTAATTTGTTAATTATAATCATCATCATTAGACATTTATTTGACATGACAATTATTAACTTTAAAAACTGTAACTTCTAATTTAAAAGATAGAATATTTGCACAAAATCTCTATTTTTTAGCATTTTACAAATTCTGTCTAAAACTCAAAAAATAAGATCTTTTATAGTAAAACATTATAGGATATTTTTTTATTTACAGACAGCTACCAACTAAATACTCTTATTAAGTTTGATATATTAGACCTCAGTTTCACAAAACTAGAAGGTTAGATTTTGAGGTTATACTTGCTCAAAATATATATAAACAAAATAATATATACTGTACGCTAACAAATATTGTAATGGAAATTGTTCCCATAAATAATTATACAAATGAAATTAATAATTAAGTATCATTTCTCCAATTTAAAGAAAAAATTATATATATAAAAGTATTTATGTTGTTAGACTTCATCACAGTGGATTTAAGATGTTTCATCACTAATTTTTTAAGAATTTACATGATAAATTACATTCCATTTTCTTATAAGTAACAATTATAAACCTAGACATCTTAGTTCTCATTATCCTGTTAATAGAGGCATATGACTAGTACATAAATCATATGTATACTTCAGGAGGTGAGTTTTAGTTAGCACTCCCAGAGGACCAGTTGAAGTAACCTCTCTTAATTCCCTTCCTTGCTTTTCTGCTTTATTATAACAACTGCCTGGCTGCAGAGAATGAATGGTAGTTTGAGATACAAGATGATGTGGGCTTGAAGACTCATGCCCATTTCTTATATTTATTTACATTCATCTTACTTTATTTTCTTAGTATTACTTTGCATCTGAAGCTTTTGAATGGACATTAAACCTAATAGACAATGTATCCCTGCACTATATGGATCCCACTTTCACAGATACCTTTCTTACTATGGTACTTTAACCTTTCTAATGTAGTAGTCGATACCCTAGTTTATATATTTGTCTGTTATGTGCAGTTCTTCATGTTTTTTTGATCTGGTTATCTTCACTTCTATGTTAAATCAAATGTGAGAAGACAGAGTTGCATTAATGCTCTCTCTTTTAGATGTTAAAATTAATTTACGAGTTATGTAACCTCTACTGTACATTGTTTTCTTGACTTTAATCATTAAAATAAGCAGGCACAGATGGGTGTTATATGCTCATTTCAGAATTCATAGTTTATTTGATTATTAAAGTACTTGCCTTGGGTCATGCCCCCCTCCAACACCAATAAAAGAACCACAATCGAAAAAGAAATAATTTTTAAATTGGGTTGTTTAAGTCCTTTGGGTATTAACGAATGGTTCAGCTTTTCATAATTGTTTCAATACCCTTCTTTTATTATCTTAAGATATTTAAGTTATTTCTTTTCTTTGTTATGTATAGTTGTTCTCTATTTCTAATAGTTTTTAGTACTGGTTTTTCATCACCAGCTTTTTTATACTGTTTAATTCTCATAGTTCTATCTCATGTTACATTTTGTTTTCATGTATTGTTTCATTTCAAAATGTTCCTGTCATTGTCATTAACAGACAGGCTTGTTTCCGGCTTGAAAAAGAGCATTTGATCGAAACATTGCCAAGTATATAAATTATTACCATAATTTTTTAAGGTTATTTTTCTCTAAAAGTCTAATTTCTTTATAATACAATAGCATATGTATGCAAATAAGCATTTTCCATAATTCTTATAGTTGTTATATTTCCCCTTCCTTTTCTTCCTCCTCTCCACTCAGTAAGGCCACAGGTTACAGGTCATAAGGTCACAGTTTTGCTGCAGCTATTCAGATTTCCTCTTAGAGCGACATTCTCCACACTCTAAAAGGTCAAAAACGATTAGCAATTATGAATTGATTATATTAACATACTCTCCCCCCCCCCCCCCTCATTTCTCTTGGAGTTTCAGTCGTGAAGCTTCTATGACCCTTTTCCACTGAGACGACTTTAAATGCTGGTGAGTTTTCGCTGCTGCATACTTTATCTTTAACTAAACATTTTCTAAATAAAATATATAGCTACAAAATTTCTGCTTCACTTTTGCCTAGAATCACCATCTCCTACTTGGAAAATTCTTGCTAATCCTTAGAGTCAGCTTCAAGGATGGCTACTCTAGCTGCAGGATCTATACAATTTGCAATTATGCAGTGTTGGCTGTAACTCGACACTTACCATCAGCCATCATAGTGACTGGCAACCTGATGCTTGAAACTGAGTTTGGTACTATCTCTTACACTACAGCTTAAAGGTTTATGTTGCAGGAGACAGCCTAAACATTTGTATAATGTGGCTGAAATTGATCATGCAGTGGTATAAAAAACTGTGACCCTGTCAGTAGCATTGTGTTCAAAAGTGCAGGAACCCTATATATAAACAAATGATATGGGACATCAATATAATTGCAACAGTAAGTTAATATTCTTTGATAAATTGTTTAGGCAGAGTATTCATGATGAAACTTAGTTGAAAGGATGGCAACTGCCGGTTGTAGAAACACAAGTGTAGAGGATGACGTTTCGAAAGTCTTCCACTTTTTGTCTTCAGGTCAGTGTTTGTATGGTGTTTTTGGTCTTTATATTATTCTGGTGGATTGCGAAGAGTGTGTTGTGATTGGTTGCTTTATTCCTGTTTCTGATTGGTGGAGAGACTTACTGTAGATTCAAATAATTCAACCTCTAATCTGGAATCTCTGTTTAGTGAAGGTTTTATTGTGTTTATGTAAAATGGTTCTTTAATTTTTTCTTGTCTTCGAAAATTTGTCTGTGTCAATGATTCTAGTTTTTCCCCAGTTTATTTTGTGTCCAGTTGACATGGTGTTTTCTGCAATGGCTGAATTTTGTGTTTTCATGACTCTCGTACTGTCTTTATGTTCTTTTATTCTTGTCACGAGCCTTCTTGTGTAGCTTCCCGAGTTGTTCTATGAAATCTGTCCAGTTGTGAATGTAATGTTTGGTATTCCCTCGTAGTGGAGATAAGATAGGTATAAAGAATGTAGCATGGCCAAGAAATTCAACATAAATGTCGGCTGGAAATCTTACAAGACATTAAGATCCATTCTGGTGAAAAACAAACAGAAACCTACCAATGAGAAACACAAAAACATCATTTATGAAATTCTGCTCTTGCAAAGAAACATTCATTGAAAAAATGGGATGAAGACTCACAACACGAATAAAAGTACATAAAGACAGTACAAGACTCATGAAAATATAAAATTCAGCCATTGCAGAACATACCATGTCAACTGGACACAAAATAAACTGAGAAAACGCTAGAACCATCAACACAGACAAATATTCGAAGACAAGAAAAATTAAAGAATCATTTTACATTAAGATAATAAAACCTTCACTAAACAGAAATTCCAAATTAGAGGCGAGTAACCTTTGGCTACCATTGGTTGAATCTACAGGAAGTCTCTCCACCAATTAGAAACAGGGATAAACCAACCAATCATAATATGCTCTCTACAATCCACCAGAATACTATAAAGATCAACAACACCATACAAACACTGACTTAAAGATGAAAGGCAGAGGACTTTCAAAATATCATCCTCTACATTTGTTTTTCTACAACAGACAATTGCTGTCCATTCAACTAAGTTTCATCAATAAGTTAATATTCACAATGGTACATGTGTCATACCTGCCATATAAACATTAAATTACATCCACAGCCTGCATGTAACTATATACATATGCATGTAGATTATGAGGTTTCATATAAGCCATAGACTACATTAAAATGATTGGTTGTCAATAGTTATACAGCAGATGTTATGAACTAGGTAGTCAAATAAACTTAAAAAAACCTTCCTATATAATGTGTAATGATGCATTCAGTAACACTGCCCAGGTTTTATCATAATACTCACAACCATTTTTGCTCAAGGCTGGTGGATCAATATTAAATAATAATGAAGAAGAAGAACAACTGGGAAATCCCTATTATGAACCACTACCGTGGTTAATGATGGGGAATATTTTGTACTATCACATGGATTCAAACCCAGTTTGCTAGCTCCAAAATTTAATTCTAACACAGTCATTTCACCTACCACATCAAAAAACTAAGGAGTGCTTTTTAAATAAAGTTTCAGAAATATGGTAAGACAATTTTATGCACAGTGATTTTTTTTTAATTGGTGAAACTGATTTTCACTATAAAGCAAGTGCAGTTTTGGTCAATTTGTGTATTGTCAAAGAGCTATAAAATGTCTGGAAAAATATCAAAAGCATTTATATTAAAAGCCTTCTGCACAAAATATATGTTTTACTTTGTACTAAAATTATTTCATCATATTTAGACAACTATATTGGAATATAATAAAATTACACTGTGCTAGAGTAAGTGTTTTATAAGTGTATATATGCTATTTTTCATTAATTTAGATCATACATACACATATGTGAAAAAAAAATTAATATCCCCCACCCATTAAAATTACATACCTATATCTTGGAGAATAAAGCTGAAAATTATTCTTATCTTCTGGTTCACAAAAGTCGTAATTTCCACTAAGAAGGTTCTGAAGTGTGGGATAAGGGCTTTTTGCTGCTTTAGGAAACATAAGACATCTAAGGTTGCACAATGCTGAACTGCTAGCTATCTCTAAGACATAGTAACCACTGCATAACACAGGAATATCTGTTGAAAAAAATACACTTACAGTAGCACGAAGAATATAAAAATCAGAAAAAAAAAGCCTTGAATGATTTTGTAGGTTGAGCTATCCTGTCAGGATAAAATAGAGCAGAGTAGATTTCTCATAGGTTTCCTATAGATGTGACTCTTCTTATATCCAAACACATTCAAAGATCAACAAACACACAATTATTAAAAACCTATACAAGTACGCCATAGCAGAGTATGCTTTAATACTTACTACTTCTGATTGATATTTTAACTTAATGTTTATCAAATTTTCTTCAAATAATATCTCTCACTAGGAACTGTCCTAAAATCACATATTCAAAAGTGAAAATTATATAATATTAAGATCCAACACACATCTTCTTTCCAGAAAACAATATATCTGAAAAGTAGAAACCAAATGCAAGCTTTTCATTCCTTTGATAATATATACAGAAAAGATGATAAAATAATTAATTTCAAAACATATCAAACTTCCATAAGGGGGAAAAAACTTCTGAAATCATCACCAACTTGTGAAATATAGGATGATTTTTATGTGTTTGCTACCCTTTTAGTTAATATGTGAACGTTTTAGGATTTCTTTTTCAGTTAAGTTTGGATGCATTGTATCACTCGAGCAAACAACTCAAACTCTCTTTACTTTAGATGCACATGAAACAATGATCCATTAATAAGTCACTAATCATGTTCTCTTGAAAGAAATATAATATTAACCCTATGTGCACAGCTTGATCAAACTGCATGTAATGAATCTTTAAGTTACATTCAAAATTTAATTAAACAACTTATGTCAATAAACTTGGCATCAAAACAGTTTATGATTTATATTTTTATATTATACAAGTTTTAATATCTTAATTTTTAAATGATATATTTTGAACAATTCTCAATTTGCACCTTCCTGAATCATGACTTGTTGCACTCTTGACTTTTCACTTATTTTTTTATTTTAATCTTTCTTTATAAGTCTCTCAGTGTGTTTAATGAATTAGAAATTCAAATTATTAATATTGAGAAGCTATAATATAAGATTTTGACCTCTTCTTGCTTTGCTGAGATATCGTTATAGCTGTTCAACTCCAGATGTCATACTTCATAATCACTCATTGCTTTTCTCTGACATTGCTATTGGACATGTTTATAACCAACATAAATGGTAAATCATGAAATACATAAGCCTGATGATCATCTGTTTTGCTTTAGCAGAGAAAGCTGATACTTCTTAAGAAGAGCCCAAAGTGTTTAGACTGAAAACATTGCTCTTAAAAGTAATAATTTTATTTGTACCTATTTATAGCTTAGTTAGAAAGATAAATTATTGTAGTTTTGAGACATTCTACTTTAGTGTATATTTTTCATGCTCTGAAATGCATATCTGAAAGCTACATAACTTATGTTTTGGACAACCAACACAGTAAGAAAAAAATTGACTTAACAAACCACGCACCATAATATAAAATGTCTTGAGCAAAAATCAAGTTATAAGTTTCTTGTTTTTTATGTGTATGTTTTATTTATTGTTATATATTTTTTTTTAAAAAGCAAGTAAAATGTAAAAAATTTAATGTAATTAGGTTGGATAAGCAAAACTTAAATGAAAAAATTAAATAAAAAATTTCTCCTTAAGGAATGCATAAGGGCTGCCACATGCTTTTATTTCATAACAATTGAAATTTTATGCTTTATTTACTCAAAGCTTTCTCTACTTTCAATGCTATGGTTAGTTTTATGCTAGAAAAAACAAGAGATAAAGTTTTACCAGAAGAAAAAAAACACCTTTTGATACTCATTTAGGAGGTTTGAGAGGTTATGTAAGCAAAATATAGAAAGTGTAGGATGAAAAAAAATTATGTTCTATTCCTATCTCCTTGTACTCAGGATAAATCTTTAGTAGAAATACTTTATAAAAAAAAATCTGATGTTGCATGTGTAAAAGCAAATGAAGAAGTTGTGAGAAAGGTGAAAGAAAGAGAGATGAACTTGTATCAAACTACTTGTTGGGCATATACTGAGACGGTCTAGTGCAAAGATATTTCTTAATATTGTTACGTCTCTGTTTGTTAATTAACTTTCCGTAACTTCGTTTCGACAAAACTTTTGCGACACAAGCCCTTACATAATAAAACTGGTTTATTCTTTCTGAATATAACTTACGATACACTTAATTTCAACAATCGCGCTAAAACAAATGCCATAACAACGAACGTGCTCAATAATACTCTCTGACTGCAGATCAATTACTCACTGTCTACACACACGTTATTCCGTCACGTTGTC